TATCAGTGATATTGTATAAGTATTTCACCTTCTGTTGGGTCACATCTCTTTGGAATGGGCACAAATGCAGATCTTTTCCAATCAGTTAGCCAGGTAGCTGTCTTACAAATTTCTTGTCATCAATGGCTGAGAGCTTTGAGTGCTGCATCGGTTTGTTGAAGGATATCAATTTGTATCACAGTTCCTGGAGCCTTGTGTTCTGACAATGCTTTCAGTGCAGTTTGGGCTATTTCCTTCTGTACCGTTGATTCTTGATCATATACTACCTCTTGAAATGGTTGGAGAAGGGTTAGAGAGATGGAAGCACTGACATCAGAAGTCTGTATAGATGGAGGACATGTTTAATAAAGAGTTCTATGATTTTTAGCAATACTTTTAAGTTACTGTCATATGCTCTCAAGATATATCTTATTGTTAAATGTCTTCGGGCAGGTTTTGACTCATGGTGACCCTGAATTAGATTTTCCAAGGAGTGGCTGGTGAGTTTGAACTGCTAACCCTGTGGTTTAAACCAGCATTTCAGTCCAGTGCTTTATCCCACAGTGCCACACCAGGATCCATAGTCTGAATTATGCACCTCAAAGTTGTTGTGTCTTAACTCCTGTTGTCTCTAAGGGTTCAAATCAACAAAAGCAATTCAAAAGATTAAATAGGAAAGTTAGGGAGCATTTAGTTTATGTTAATGGAGGAGGAACTATTCAGAAAAAGAGGGTGAAAATGATTGCACAACTTTAAGAATGTCGTCAACGTCACTGTATTACGCCTGCAGAAATTATTTTGAATTTTTGAATTCTATGTGCATTCTCAACAACAACAATAAAATAAAGTATTTAAAAATTCAGTATAAAGTTAAAACTGAAAAATTGTTAATCTTCATGAGTTATTAAAAAGAAAACCAAATGAACAATGATTTACAACATTTATCTATTCCATGAGCAAAAAATGATGACTGCAACAGTGATGAATTTTCATTCATGATTGTGGGGCCATACAATGTTGCATATTTTATGTAAAGGAGTTTCACAGTATGCTTCAAAACCTTAAAAAACATTTGTTGTTGTGTTGTTAAATGTGGTTGAGTTGGTTCCAACACATAGCAACCCTGTATAGGGCTGCAAGGAGCGACTGGTGATTTTGAACCACTGACCGTGTGGTTCAAATCGACCTGTGGTCCAGTGCTTTATGCCACAGCACCACACCAGGACTCTT